TAAACTGAGCGCCTCATGCAGTAATACCTCACAGCCTCAGGTGTTGATGTGTTTACTGAAATGATTCACAGCCTATACATTAGTAATGAACCGATGATTCACAAACCATGCATAATTTAAAGGTCTGCAGGAGTGGATGTGTCGGTTGAAGGTGTTTAACTACTGCCGCTGCTTCACTTTAGTGATTTTGGTAAATCCTTCTTGACGATACACCGACGCCGCTGCACTTTACTTCTCATTTCTGGCTCTGATGCACATTTACTTCCACTGGGAGCGACCGAAGCTCATTACAGACTCAATAAAAACCCTCTTTGAGGCTGCAACACTAGTCATTATGTTCAAACTCTTTTGCTAATTTTCAAGGGAAATTATGTTCTATTTCTGTCCGTGTTTGTGACGGGCGAATCTGGAGCAGGTGTTACGCAGTGATTCATGCAAAGAAAAGCACGACCGTTCGTGACCCACCTTCCACCATTCTTCGTTAGAGTCGTCGGTGACCTGCACCCGATCGCCAGGGCTGGAGGAGATAAGAAGAGATGGTGATGAAAAAAAAAGCATGGAGGAGGAGGTGGTGGAGGTCAGGGTGAAGAAAGAAGCACAAACGATCACATTATCAGGCTGCCACAGGCCTCGGTTTACAAAGCTGCAGAGGTTAAAATGTCAGCCAGTCTTTGTGTTGCTCTGCAGAGGTGACAGCTGTACAGTAGTAGTACACAGGAGGCCTGCATGCTAATGACGCTAACGCTGCTTGATGGGACTTTTCTGCTCAGACTGTGCTCCAGCTGTCCTACATACTCAGAGAGGACGCTGCTCCACTTCTGTACATTCCGTCTCCTGGGTGTCTGCGCTCACTACTGCCCTATATGATCACCGGACGCTCACCAGGACTCCCACACACAAGCTTCTGCTTTGTAGTTTACTTTCACTTCCAAGATTCTTCAAGGTGTGAGAACTAAAAGTGTTCTAAAAAGGTTTTCATAGGGTTCTAACATATATATACTTCATACAAGCTGCACCTTAACTCTACATATGTGTAAATATTGTTTTCTTTTGAAATATATTTTTTACACTTTGATATTTATTTATCTATTATCTTTTATGTATCTTTTTATTCTTTATTTTACTCTTATTATATTCCTGTCTTCATTCTTGGGTGGGAAACGTGCATCTAACGAAAAACAATTTCCCCTCGTGGATAAATAAAGTGTTTCTGATTCTGTCATGTTCCCTCAACAACATCTTCAAAACCTCCTCAGAACAAAAAAAAACATATTCATTTACATAATTAATATTGTGTATAATGTCCACATTTTTACAAATAGTCATTTTCATCTTTTACAATATGTGACTGTACAATAATGCTGTTTTTAATGTATTTAAATCCGCAAAAATATCTTTATTTTAAATACATTTGACGCTATTTGAAAGAAAGAATGATGTATATTAAGGGTCTAAAAGTGATTAGTAATTTTAAAAATTCTTCTTTACTGATTTAGCCTGTTTTGTTAAATTACAGATGAGCCGGAAAAGAAAAGAAAAAAAAAAAAAAAGAAAGGAAAGAAAGAAATTTAAAAAATAGAAAAAATACAGGCCAAAACGATGTTTTTTGTTTTTTTTTTAACTGATAGTAATTTGTTCTTTACAATGTGCGACTAAAGAAACTACACTGTTTTACTACATTTACATCAGCTAAAAATCTAAATATTTCACAGATATTTGTCATTATTTTCACCATTTTGACAGTTTTTTAATGCGACAGCTTTCCAGTGTTTTGTAACAGACATTTTCTGAAGCTCTTGCTGCAAAATTTTCACTTATTTCTTTAATTTTTTTAAAAAACTAAAACTAGTTTTTACAGTGTAGCTACTGGACATAACTCCAGGTCCCTGCAGAACAATGAATAATTTCATTTAATTTAATTTTCATTTGTTATTTTAGGCTGTATAGAGAATTTTATGTTGCTGACAGTGACGTTAGAGAGGAGAAGATGCAGATAATATGACACTTGTTGCGTCCTCTGATCTGAACCACTTCATCAGGGAAACTCAGGAGTTTCTACCCCAGAGTTTTTACTCTTTTTTTTTTATCCTGAAAGAGGAACTACAGGGGCTGTTCTTGCAGTTGGAACTTTCAGGCTTGGAAAATGGTTTTATGTTTGTATTATGTAAAGTTCAGTTTGAGTGTATTTTGTAGAAAGTATAAAATCTTCAGCATCTCTAATTCTAACAGGAGCTTCAACATGGTCCAGTAGAACTCTAAGAATAGAATAAATGCGGTACTGTTTGAGCCCAAACATCAGAGATCTGTCATTCATCTTACTGTATGTGTTCAGGTAGTAACAGGCCTGAGGTTCAGTGTAGAAGGCCTTTATTCCACTGATTGAACTGAGCCTGCAGAAGCACACGTGCACTAAACTGATGTACTATTGGCTAAATTAAAAGCCTAACTGAATATCTGACGGCGGGATGTTCTCCTCTGGGACCCGGATGATTCCCTCAGAACACACTAACCTGCTGTCGTCCTGTCGCCTCATTATTATCCCCTGAGGTTTTAATCTTGTAATCTTCTTCCCTGTGACTTCTCCTCAGACTGAGCGATGATGATTTTTAACTCGGGTTCTCCTGTAGCGGCCAGAACTGTGAGAACACCGTGGCTGGTGTTGGATGTTCGGCGGATCACTCAGTTTTGGTGACTTCATTATAAGGCTGCACACTGAGCTGCAGCCTCTGACCGTCTCCTCTACGTCTAACCTGCCGGGTCGTTTTATTCTACTAATTTATTATCATAACAGTCCTTTAAATGAATCAGACTGCCTGGAACTTTGCTAGTTATGTAAATGAAATAAGCTGAAAACCTTTTTCCTGCAGCTGCATGAAGTCACCTTGAAACTGCAAAGTGACAGAAACAGTGTTTTTTTCAGAAATTAAATCTAAAGCAAGTTGAGCAAAACTCCTGCTTCAGTCCAGAAGAGCAGGTTCTTATATTAAGAGTTCATTAGAGATCAGCTGTAATTTAACAAAATGGGGAAAATCTGTAAAGTGAAATAAATCATTTACCACTTTTAAATCTTTAATAAACAGTCGTGACTCGATAATCCGACACTAAATGTAAAACCTTCTTTTATGTCGGATTGTCAAGACGGAGGTGGAGATACAAGGAGGGCTTGATGCTGGAAGGCTCATTTGTTGTTAATATTTATTGTTCATAGTTGTTATAATAACTAGTAGGGCTGGTCCCAGTAGCACTTTCTGGTCTCTGGATATTCAGGCCCAATTAATGATGAATATCTGAATATTTAGTGCAGTCGGGGGACACTTCCACCCCGGGGGAGCGCTCCGACCGGGTGGAAGTGGCCGAAACACACAGGTAGTACTTGGCTGCTGATGCCAGTTTAGTTAGTGGTCACAGTTCTGTTTCCACCATCCATGTTTACTTCCATAAACACTGAGCACGTTCGCTGCTCGTTGTGTCCTCTTCTGCACATGCGGGACACTTTTGAGTCATATAAAGTTCACACAGCAGATCACATACAAGTTGTATTTAACAGGAAATGTGAACGAACTCACAAAAAATCTGATTTCATAAAGAAATCCTTATTGAGCATTAAGTCCTGCAGTCTGAACGTAGCCAATCTGTTGGATTGTTCAGTCAGATAATACATCGTTATCCTGATTGGTGACATAAAATGTCATGTTGGAGTCAGAATCCAAGGCTGTCGGTGTGTTAAGGCTGTTTTTAATGGGTTCTGTTTGTTTTTCCTAAAAACCTGTCGGATAGCAAAGTTTAGGATTGTTAAGGGTCTGATTATCAAGTCACGACTGTTTATCTTTTTTTTTTCTTTAAAATAACGACAAATATCTGTAAAATAATTTTTTAAAATAAGTAAGGGATAATGCCCGACGAGGTGTCCATTATCTTCGCGGAAGCAACCGTCCTCCGCTTCGCGTCGGACGGTTCACGCCTCCGCATCGTCCATTAATTTCTGATAATGGACACCTCNACAGTCGTGACTCGATAATCCGACACTAAATGTAAAACCTTCTTTTATGTCGGATTGTCAAGACGGAGGTGGAGATACAAGGAGGGCTTGATGCTTGAAGGCTCATTAGTTGTTAATATTTATTGTTCATAGTTGTTATAATAACTAGTAGGACTGGTCCCAATAGCACTTTGTGGTCTCTGGATATTCAGGCCCAATTAATGATGAATATCTGAATATTCAGCGTGGTCAGGGGGACACTTCCACCCCGGGGGAGCGCTCCGATGGGGTGGAAGTGTCCGGAACACACAGGCAGTACTTGGCTGCTGATGCTAGTTTAGTTAGTGGTCACACTTCTGTTTCTACCATCTGTATTTACTTCCATAAACACTGAGCACGTTCGCTGCTCGTCGTGTCCTCTTCTGCGCATGCGAGACACTTTTGGGTCGTATGAAGTTCACACAGCAGATCACATACAAGTTGTATTTAATTGGAAACGTGGACGAACTCACAAAGAAATCGGATTTCACAAAAACATCCAAATGTAGCATGAAGTCCTGCATTCTGAACGTAGCCAATCTGTGGATTGTTCAGTCAGATAAGACGCTGTTATCCTTATTGGTGACATAAAATGTCATGTTGGAGTCAGAATCCAAGGCTGTCGGTATGTTAAGGCTGTTTTTAATGGGTTCTGTTCATTTTTCCTAAAAACCTGTCAGATAGCAAGATTTAGGATTTTTAAGGGTCAGATTATCGAGTCACGACTGTTTATCTTTTTTTTTCTTTAAAATAACGACAAATATCTGTAAAATAATTTTAAAAAATAAATGAATTTAAATAATAATAAAAAATGTGATTTTGCTGATTGAAGTGGAGTAAAAATATTACAATTTTGTGATTAACATTTGTAAAAAAAATACAGCTTTTTGCTGCAGTTTTGACCATGTTTGTTGTTGTTGTTGTTGTTTTAAGGTTAGCATGAAAAAGAAGCCTTTTCTGTGATTTTAATAGTCGTTAGGGATAATTTCATCAAAACAGCAAAAAAAATCTGTACAATAACAGGAAATTATTTTTAAACAATTTACAGCAAAACACTATTTTTAAAAAACAAAACTTTTTTTGCTATTTTTTTCTAGTGCAGGCTGAAAAAAATATGACAAAAAGGACATTTGAAGGTTAGTTTTGAGTCTTTTACTATTAAATTCCACTAAAGCAATACATTTTAAAACATTTTCAATGAAGTAACTCGACATTTTCATTAATTTGACGAGTTATTTTGTGTAATTTGACAAAACAGGGAAAAGTTGTGAAAGATCAGAACATTAGTTTCTTAAAGCGGAACGGCAGATATGAAGAAATGTAAGACTCTGATCGGATTGGGGGCAAAAAAGCTCCACTTATTGATCATTAATAATGGATATCTGTCCTGTCAAAGCCCCATCGATGGACGGTTAGTTCCAACTAGTCCATCCTGTCACGAGCACACAGTCGATTGTCTCTCAGCACAGATGGCTGCCAACATCCTCCACGGATCTACCTCAGTGAAATCTGTCCCCTAACCATCTATAGGCTCCAAAAATACCTCCAACACATCCACCCTGGCCTCGTTTCATTCCTCCGTCCCGCTTCCCCTTCCTCGTCCTTCATCTTAAAGAGCTTTCACTTTGATATTTGCACTTCCTCTCTATCTGTTCCTCCCATAATAATCTCCAGCTCCGTAATATTTCCCCTCGCGTCCGTCCCGCCTTTCATCTCTCGGTTGTTTCGGTGTCTTTATCCCTCCTCCCCCTGCTGGGAAAAGCAGCTCACGAGCTCTACGTGGGGACAGTGACGGGTTTATAATTAGCCGACCTCTGCAGATGGTGGGGACGTTTTTATCCTGCAGGAACAACAGTCAGGGCAAAAAAAAAAAAAGGGGGCGCAGACAAAACAGAAAAAGGGCTGCTGCATGTAGTCGGTGGAGTGTTTTTACTCACTGTAGTTCCAGGTCGTTCTGTTCCTGAGGCAGAAACCTGTAGAGCGCTACGTAGGTGTGGATGGAGTGGACTTCAATCCGCTTGGGCACCTGAACGTGGAGAAGATGAAGCAGTGAGGCGGAAACACAACAAGAGGTGACGAGCTCTGAGGAGTCACTCCAGTCACCTGCTATAGCACCAGGACATTAAAGGAAGACTTTTGATTCTTTTAGGCTGCGAACATCATTTTAATGAGTTTTGATGTCATGTTGTTGCATCAACTTAATACTGTGTGTGGATTAAACTCAAACTTCTGCCTTAGTTGGTGTCAGATTGAGTTCAAGTTGTTGTAACTTAATGAAGTCGGCTTTTCTCAGGATTTCGACTCCACTAAACACAACCTACTACGGTTAAGATTGTGTGTTGGAGGGCCGGTACACTGTAAAAAATATTATGTAAAACAATATTAATTTGACTGCAAGAGTAGAAAAACAAACTTAAAAAAAAAAAATAGTGGAAAACTGTAATGTTCAAAAATTGTAAAAATGGTGAAAATGATGACAAACATCTGTACAATGATATCAGTTATAGCTGATTTCACTGTAAAACAGTGTCATTTTACCATCGCACATTGTAAAAGAACAAATTACTATTAGTAAAAATATAGATTCTTATTGTGCACAGTTTTGTCCTGTTTTTTTTTTTCTTTTTTTAGGTTAACGTGTTATTTAACACTTTTTTCTGTAATTTTACTAGATATCATCTTTAAAACAAAACAGTAAAAATCAGTAAAATACCAATAAAAACATTCTTTACTCTTTTTCTGTCATTAATGTACATTTTTTTTCTTTCAAATACAGGCAAATATCTGTAAAATAAAGATATTTATAACTGATTTAAATACAGTAAAACGGCGTAATTTTACTGTCACACATTGTAGAAGCACAAATTATTTTTACTAACAATGCAGATACTTGATGGACACAGTTTAGGGCTGCTTTTTTACAGGTAACTTGGTTTTTCATACTTTTTCTGTTATTTTGCTGGATATTATCTGTAAAACTTTACAGATAATACAGTGAAAATCTTTAAAATACCAGTAAAAACATTATTTACTGTTTTTCTGTCCTTAATGTACATAATTTTTCTTTCAAATAATGGCAAATATCTATAAAATCATTATGTTTTGAGCTGATTTAAATGCAGGAAAATAGAATTCTTCTTATTATAACTATTTGTAAAAGTACAGATTGTAGATGTGGACAGTTTTGACCCTTTTTTAAATAGCTAACATGTAAATTAATTTTTTTTTTGTGATTTCACTTATTATTTGTAAAAAAAAAAAAAAAAAAAAAAAAACCCAGCAAATTATTGAAAAAATACAGTTAAAAATTGTTAGATTTTTTTTTTAGCGTAAATAAGAAAAAACTTTATCAGGGGCAAAAACAAATCTTTCAAATAACAGCAAATAACTACAAAATAATATTTTGTGCTGATTTAATCATTTTACTGTCATACATAGTAAAAGAACTAATTACTCTTTGTGAAAATACAAATTTTTTTAATGTAGACATTGTGTACAGGCATTTCAAAAACATTTTATCTCAGAAAGTCTTTCACATTTTATCCTAAAACCTTTTAGATAGAATTTTAAACATCCAGAGTTAATGACAAAACAGGCCCCTGATCATTAGAGATGGAGTAAAGCAGTTGTTTAGTGATTAAGTATGTCTGAGTGAAGAGGAAACGCTGCTGAACTCAGTGTAGTTTGTTGGTGGGACACAACTTGAGCGATACCTTGATGCTGCTCTCCTCTGCAGGAGTCTGCTCGGCGGCCTCCTCCTCCTCCTTCTCCTCCTTCTCCTCCTTCTCCTCCTTCTCCATCTCCGTCTCGGCTGCAGGAGCGTCTGGAAGCCAAGAGGAATTTATTCAGAAGGTGCCGAGGATGCAAGTCTCTGCACACGTGCAATCAGGCGGGTTTATTTTTATTTTTTTCATGAGCCGACACAGCAAATCTCCGTCACGCAGCAGCAGCAGAAGCGGAGACGCATTAACATGGACACAGTGTTGTGGTTTTTACCTCCCGGTTCCTGACTTATCTCCTCCTCCATGCTGCACTGCCTCGGCTCCCTCTCCTCACCTGCCTCCCCCTTTAAAGGAGCAAACAGAGGAAACAGTAAAACGTTAACGCCAGCCTGTCAGACAGGATGCATTTGATAGATGGAGCGCTTTGAATCAGTCAGAGTTGCTGCTTTCGTTTTCCTTCTGCCCGGTTAGATCCCTGTGAGAGATTGAAGTCTTGTTTTGTTGTCGTTTGACACCTTTTTTTTTGTTTTTTGCTCAGATTTGAAAAAACTCTCGACCTTGTTTTTAAGGGGATTCGTCCCCTTCAGGATTTAAGACACGAGGATTTGTCTCCCTCAAATTAACCTGACAGACTGTTACCTTCACTAACACACAGCAACATGTCAGGCTTTCTTTTTGGTTTTTTTTAGCCCTGAATCCTGTTTTCACTTCCAAGTATATGAATTATGACTTGACACAGGCGCAGAATTTTTTGTGGAAAATATAATTAGATCCATTTATATTTCATTAACTTCTGAACTGTGTCTGCGGTCTGTGTTGATTTCCACAAATAAGCACATTTCCATCATAAAGGCACGAACTGGTGCATAAAAATTCCCCCAGAAGACAGTAAATGAAATGCTTCATGTGTCAAATGAAACCTGGCAGGTCATGTATGCAACACACTGAAAATAAAGGAACAAATACAAAATTTAAATCTGTTTTTAAAAAAAGAAAAAAAAAAGTTTAAAAATGTGTGTGTTAAAAATGGCCAAATACTGTAATGTTCAAAAACAGTAAAAGCAATAAAAATAATGGCAAATATCTATAAAATATTCTTTTGCCATTTCAATACAGTAGAAATATTATAATTTACAGTCAAACATTGCAAAAGAAAGAATTACCTTTTTAAAAAAAATAAAAATAAAAAACTAATTAAATCGACATGGAAATTAATACATTTTTGTGACTTTATTAGATATTTCCTATAATTTACAAAAAAAAAAAAAATCTGTAAAATGACAGTTTGAAGAATCTTTTTAAAAACAGTAAATTTAAAAAAAAGCAATTTTTGGCAAATGTCATGAAATAATGAATTTGTAAAAATACAGGTTTTTGATGTTGACTTGATTTCCATTTATTTTACGTAATGTTATGTAATTTAACAAAACAAGGAAGGATCTGTAAAATAACAGTAAAAAATACATTTAACATTTTTTATAATATTAATAGACATTTTTTTTCTTTTAAAAAATACTAAATAAATAATGCTAAAATAACTTTTTTTCTTTTGCTAATTTAAAGACTGTAATTTTATATTCAAACATAAAAATCAGTTAATTTCTAATAACAGTAACAATATCTGTATTTTTTTGTGATTTTCTTTTCTTTTTCTATGATTTTTCACGAAAAGTAAAAGACTGTTTTTAATTTAATTTAATTTAATTTTTTTACAGTGTAAGTTTTGGAGATCCCCAAAGTTCTGCATATCAGTAGAATTTAAGGAGGGAACATTTGACATTGTAGAAAAGTTAGACAAGCTCTATCATATTGATCTCTGAAGGTAATAGTTTAGTTTATAACCATTGGCTATAGCTTCATATGTGCTCTACAGTGTGTACAGATGTTATTACCCGACTCCACAGCTCCCTTGAAGCTAAATCCTCTTCCACGTTATCCCGGCATTTCTGGCAAATATTGAAATATTCCAGCTGTGTTCCACCAAAAATGACTTTACTGTTCAACTGAACTGCATTCTCAGCTTCAGTTTGTACAAGAAATCCACTTTTCTCCTCCAAAGACAAGCGAGTGACGTTATAAGACGATTCAAAAAGCCATGAAAGCCCGTCAGCTCTTAGATTATTATGTATGTATGAAATGCTGCTTTGTGTTTGTGTCACATGAGAATCCAGGAGCTGAGGTCAGAGGGAAAAGCCTGCAGGTCCATGTAGGGGCTGGAAGCTTTTTGACTTTCTAACATGCTGTGGAAACTCACCATAGATTAAACTTACACAACTATGTATAACCAGCCAGTGGAAAAAACGGTTTTGTGTTCAGCGTCGACCTATAAATAAACAGCCACTCCTGTTTTTTCTCTTCGCTGGACTGATTTTGTCTTTGTCCTTGTTGCAGTAGAGTCACATTTACAAAGAGTCAGAGCAGTTTTACTCACAAGTTTGTCATTTTCACTCACTTCCTGGTTAGGTTTTAGGAAATGTCACACTTTGGTTGACACTTTCATTTCCTGTTAGAAGCTTGGTTATGATTAGGCACCGAAATTAGCTGTCTGGGTTCAGGAAAATAGCACAGTTTGGGTTAAAACATGATTCTTTCTCAACATGTTTGAAGATTCTCCTCCATTTTCTGGGTTACCATGGTGACTAGTCCAAGCATATTCTTCAAAAAGTAGCTGAGAAGGCAGTTTAGTTGTACGTAGGAATGTACTCAACAAACATGTCATTTAAATAATGTGTACAAGTTAGTTGGACCAACTTATTTTTCATGAATAAAAAAAACTTTAGAGATTTGTGTTTATGGTACCAGTTAGGGGCCAAACAGGGAAATGTCTAAATGATTTTACAGATTCTAAAACGTGTTCGATAAAAAATGATATTGGTTTAGGAACGCTCTTCCGTTATTGTTTATTGTTTTTTAGAGAATGTTTTCTAATAGGTTCCCTCAACAACATCCCCAAAACATTGCAAAGCAAAATGTTCCACCTTTGTCAATATATCGCAGTACAGGAACATCTTATAAAGAACATCTGATAACGACTTCAAATTGTGTTTTTTATGTTGTATTTCTGTTTTGGTGTCATTGTGTAAATCTTTTACAGAGCAATGTTTATAAAATGTTCTACCTTTAATATGTCGCATTACAGGAACTTTATCAATCATTCTGTATAAAAAAAACCAGAACGTCATCTATGGTCTCGATAACATTTTTTTGAACGTTGGTTTGAGAACGTTCTTCCTTTACTGTTTATCATGTTTTATGGAAGAATGTTTTATAATACGTTCCCTCAACAACATCCCCAAAACATTGCAGGCAAGATGTTCCACCTTTAGTCAGATATCACAGTACAGGAACGTCTTATTAAGAACATCTGAGGTCTTGATAACGTCCTCAAATCATGTTTTTTTATGTTGTATTGGGAACTTTCCTTTAGTTATCATGTGAATGTTCTTCCTTTAGCATAGCACATTACAGGAACGTTAAAAAATGTTCTGAATAAAAAACAGAACGTCATCTATAGTCTTGATAAAAAAAATTTGAATGTTGGCTTGAGAACGTTCTTCCTTTATTATCATAGAACATGATGAGAATGCTTTATAGAAGAATGTTTTGTAATACGCTCCCTCAACAACATCCCCAAAACATTGCAGGTCCTACCAAATGTTCCACCTTTGGTAGGATATGACACTACAGGAACGTCTTATAAAGAACATCTGAGGCCTTGGTAACATCTTCAAATCGTTTTTTTAAAAAAAATTTTAAATGTTGTATTGACATCTTTACATTAGTTATCATGTGAATGTTCTACCTTTAATATACCACATTACAGGAACGTTATAAAATGTTCTCCTTTAAAAAAAAAACAGAACGTCGTCTGTGGTCTTGATAAAATCTGGAAAACTTTTTGTGAATGTTGGTTTGTGAAGGTTCTTCCTTTGTCATCTTGGAACAATCTGGCAACATGCTCTGAATATCAATGCTAAAACCTCATAATAACTTTCTAGGAACATTATTGCAACTGAACATTTTCTTGGAACGTTCTTTGAACATTTGATTAAAACATTCTCTTTAAAAAGCGTTAGCCAGCGTTGTAGGAACGTTTCCCGCCAGCTGTTGTGCTACAAATCTCTATCTGCGGCCTCAATGCTTAGCGGGTGACTTCATTGTTATAGAAACGTTCTCTAAGCGCTCAGTAGTGATGATGATGGTGATGATGATGTCATACCAGGCTGCGGGTCGGTGATTCTGACAAACTGCCAAAACTGGAGCGGCTCATCTGTGCCAAGGACGTCCCGTATCGCAGGGCGGCGTAGACCGGGTCGACCCGCCTCTGCACCGCCTCTGGAACCACACACACATCCACAAGACTCGTGTTCATGTAAATTATTCACTGCAGACACGCCACAATCAGAGCTACACGCTGAGATTACAAAGTACACCAGGAGTATTGTGCCAAAGTGGAGGAACGACTCTAAATATAACACAGTCCTGCACCAAAGTGACCCAGTTTCGATCTACAGGCAGGACGGCAGCCAGAAGTTAAGAAGACATCAAGACATTCCAATGAATCCGCTGGCTTTGATTTATTTATACATTTACTTATTGGCAGGAGATGTGTCTGGCTTTAATAGCTGTAATATATCTGGAGCTGCAGCTGAGTAGAAAGGGAATGCGAGATGAGATTTAAAATATGGAAATCCTCTCAAAGTCCTCATTGCTACGTTTCACGTTATCGCAATATTTCTCCAGTTAGGAATTAGATTTTCTGCTCCTGTTCCCATCCAACAGGAGCGGGATTGAGGGCAGGGTGGGTTTTTTTCTGCAAGGCCACATGTGCCGTATGAAGCCGGAATGATTTCATATTGAAGTCTTCCTAAAAACAGAAATTCCGCAGCGAGGAACCTTCTTCAGTGAGATCGACTGAGGAATGCAAGGTGACAAAACTCATTAAACTGACTTCAGTGCAGAAGGTTTTTTTCTGCAAAGAGCACAAAGACTCAACACTCGTCACATCAATACGAGCTGTAGGTAGGAAAGGAATGACCTTTGGGTTTCTATTCAGAGCAAAGAGAGGAGCTCTTTGTGATGTAGCTTTATGTTCAGTAGAACTTTAATCAGCAGAGACAACATTGACTACAATGTTAAAAAAAAAAATAGTGAAAGTCTGGTAGCAAAGATGCCAAAAAAAAAAACATGGTTTAAGAAACTGTTGGACTACTTAAACATTTAAAAACTGTAAAAACTGTGAAAACAACTAAATATATCTGTAAATTAGTTTTATTTTCAGCTGATTTAAATGTAGTGAACGGTGTAACTTTATGGCCAAATATTACAAAAGAACAAATTACTGTTTTCAAAATTCACATTTTGAAGCAACTAACGGTTTCTGCCTTTCTGCCTTTTCTTAGTTGTCAATGTGTAAATAAATGTTTTTTTCCTGTGATTTTACATTATCTGTAATTTAACAGTTTATTGTTAGCAAGTTGTAAATATTTAAAATACAGAATTTTTCCTTGAAATAATAGCAAAAACCTGTAAAATAACATTTTTAAAGCAGATTTAAATGGAGTACAGTGTAATTTTATAATCACATGTTGTAAAAGAACAAATTACTGTTACATTTTCTTTAATGTTACCTAGAATTTTTACCATTTTTTTTACAGTCAACATGTAAATGAATAGTTCTGTGATTTCTGTAGATATGTGTAATTAAGAAAAACATCTCTAAAATAACAGTTTAAAATAAAATTCACAATAATTTGCATTTTTAATATACATTATTTATGTTTTCAATAAATATAACAAACAAACAAACAAATATCTATAAAATATTGTTTTTTTTAGATGATTTAAATACAATAAAACTGTAATTTAATGCTTACACATTGTAACAGAACAAATTGTTATCTATTAAAACATATCTGTGATGTCGACATTATTTAATTTTTTTTTAACAGTCAATATGTAAATTTACACTTTTTCTACTAGATATCTGTAAATTAACAAAGCAGGAACAATCTATAAAATAATAGTTTAAAATGATTTATAATTTTTCTATCTTTAATATACATATTTGCTCTTTCAAAATAAAAAATAATAATACTTTTGCTGGTTTAAATACAGTGAAACTAGGTGATTTTATGGTCACATTGTAAAAAAAAAAAAAAAACAAAAAAGCAAAATGAAAAAGAACAATTGAAGAAGTGGATATCCTGGTGAGTTAAGCGAACAAATACGGTATGTGGAGTTCCCCAAGGATCCATTCTTGGTCCTCTACTTTTTTACAGTTACCATGTAAATCAATACATTTTCTTTTCTGTGACTTTACTAGATATCATCTGTAATTTAACAAAACTAGAAAACCCTGTGAAAAGCTATTTAACAGATTACAGGTAAAAACTTTACTCCTAGATCCCCTTTTCATTCTTTAACCTCGTCTAACCTGACGCGGCTGTTGTTCTCATCTAAACAGGGAAATAGATGCTCGTACACATTGTTTCAGCTGCTTGATAATCAGATTTTAATTGTCACTGCAAGATTGCGACCGTTAAGCGTTCTCCGGTTCTGTCCTGCGGCTGTTCCACTTCTCAGCTCTCGTGAAGGGCCTTTAATACGAGACAATAAACTGCCGCCGAAAGGTTGCTTGGTGGCGAAATTGCAGGCTCTGTGAGTGAATACATCAGGAAAATTGCTGTCTGATAAACATGAGCTCAGTATTCTAGCGAGCCTTTTGTCGGAATAATTACGAGGACACAGCGTGGACGTGCGACGGCCGGTTTGGCAGGTTGCAGTCTCAGCTGGCCCTGGCTCGGTCCCAGGCGTCACGGCGCTCGACTCGGGGTGATGATGGAGCTGCAGGTTAATTGTGCTCTGATTCATGAATAGTACAAGGAAGCGACAGCGCGAGGTGCTAACCCTGATTCAGGGAGGCATGCATAACTGGAGATGAATCACTGCATCTCCTGCACAGGTTAAAACAAGCTCCCGTTCAGAAGTTATCCTCAGTGGGAGACAAGCAGTTTCCTCCTCGTTAGCATGACACGGATATTCAGAAATCAATAAAGGGAAGAATAAATTCAGCTGCTTGTAGGCCAGTGGGTTTCACTCTCGATGAAATATTCAGCATACAACTGAATCCTGTGTGATATCACTGAAATCTCAAACAGTGCATCACTTCTACGTTGAGTATTCGCTCTTGTGTAAAATAAAACAGTTTAGTTTTACAGTTATAAAAATACAGGCCCCGCAGTAGGAACTCAATGCAACTAAAGTCAGTACACCTTATTTGTGAGTTGAATGCATTTCATGATGAACAATTTCTCTTCTTCAAGCTTCTGCAGACTGGGACTCATCTTGTCAGACAGCGTTTTGGTTTATCCACAGACATTCATCTCTAAACATCTTCTCGACAGCACCTGTTGCCTTCATGCAGCCCCATATCATGATCCTGCCACCTCCGTGCTTCACTGTCAGGACTATGCATTGAGTTAAGTTCACACCAAACATGCTGGACTCCATCTGAGCCTGACAAATGTATCTTGGTCTCATTTGACCAAAGGATGTGCTCCTTATAGCCATCAGGCTTCTTTTCATGTCTTTTAGCAAACTTTAACTGAGCACTTTTGCTTCTAAAGAAGTTTTTTTTTTTGTCTCGGAAGGCGTCAATAGATGTTGATGTTATGAAGTGTCCTTCACACAGTCTGAGCTGTCACAAAAGCTCGGATTCCCACGTCTGAAGCAGCTGCTGTCTGTTTTTGCAGAGCTGAATTGCGAAAGTAGTTGACTGTCTGTGGCGTCATTTGAGGAGGACGACCACTGCAGCTCTGATTAGTGGTACTAGGGCTCCTTCTATACCTCCTGATTACTGCTGACACTGTGTTAGTTGCTCTTCCTGGATCGTTTGTCATCTTTGTGACGTCTCACTATCGAATTTTTCAGTTTAGTTGTCCAACATGCAGAAGGACGCCGCTTATAAGTTCAAAACCGAGAAGGTTCTGTTCTCCACAGCTCATTCTATAAAAGTGTTCATCCGGTTCAGCTGATTGGAAATCACTCAGTTTATTTTCAGTGTACTCACCTTTGTTGCACTGAGGTTCTACTTTGGGGTCTGAGTTTTCAATACAGTCTTTGTGAAGTGTTTGTTTCAAAGGTGATGCAAGTTTGAATCACTTGACATTGAAGTGATATTGCACAGAGGGTTACTCACTGCTGCTGCTGCATACAGGAGGTGGATATTAGGATCCAGGGAGCTAGTTAGGGTTCAGTCAGTAAAGTAGGCCGCATTTCAATGTTTATGAAGCTGTTAAACATGCAAACTGCAGCGGCTGACAATAAGTTAATACCGTCCACCGGCCCGGGGATATACAGCGCAGGGAGAGAACAACATAAACATTAGAACTTATAAATATTTATTCACATACTTTCAGGGTGCAGACCATCCATCAGCCTCCAAGAGAAGCTGAATTTGTTCTTCCCCCCCTTTATCTTTTTTCCACTTCATGCTCCTTGGTTGTCAGGTGAGATGAAGACAGTTCTGGTTTTATTACAGCACGCAAAAGTCTAAAAATAGACCGAAAGCCTAGACAAGAGTGACACGACAAAACAAAAGCACAGGGACGCAAACAAAGCATGCAGACGCTCGGAGAGCTCACCTTGGCTCGGCTGAACTTCCTTCACCACGGCCAATTGTTCGTTGACGAGCATCGGCGAGCTGAAGTTTCGCTTGAACGCTCCGGACTAATGGAGGAGAGCAGAGAGAAGGGTTTGGTTTTTTTTTTCCCCCCCAGCTTCCATTACTTCATGTTTATAGGCTTAACTGACAGGAAAATGGCTTTTTGTAGGGATTTGAGTACATTAATGGAGTTGTATGAAAATGGCTGGATCACAAACAGGCACACATGGAGGAAGAACAAGTCTGGCAGCAAGAGCACAGGAAAAAATACGAGAAAAATCAATAGACTTTAGTGATTTTTTTAGCCGATTAAAATGCAGTAAAACAGCATTATTTTATGGTCACGCATTGCAAAAGAACAAGAAACATTATACAAATACTAATACATACAAATATAGATTTTTCATGTTGACGTTATTTACAGTTTGTTCTGTATTTTACATGTAAATTAATAGTTTTTCTGTGATTTTGCTCGATAATATCTGTGTTTGAGCAAAATAGGAAAATTGTGTAAAACAACAATAAATATTTTTTTTTAAATTATGATTTTTCAGTTATTAATATACATATTTTTTTCTTTCATATAGCGGCAAATATCTGTAAAATATTTTTGGGGTGATTTAAATACAGTAAAAATAGTGTATTTTACAGTCACATGCTGTAAAATAACAAATTAATTCTTTTTTATTTCTGCATATTATCTAAAATTTTAGATTACCGCAAAAATCTATAAAATAAGAGTGTAAAAAATTTATTACTTAATATTATTTACTTCATATACACAAATAATTTTTTTGGAAATATTCACAATTATCTGTAAAATAAACATTTTAAAAATAGTAAAAATAGTGTATTTGGTACAAAATCAAATGACTATAATACAGATTTTTGTTGTGGACATCATTTACTGTTTTATCCTTTTTTAAAAATATTATCATTAACATGTAAATTAAAAAAAAAAAAATCTGTGATTTTAATACATCTTATCTGTAATTTAACAAAACTGAAAAATTCAATCTAATAACAGCAAATTGTTATAAAATCCCAGCTCTAGTTTTCACAGTGTGGTGCACCTGCTGCAGGAAAAGACCTCACTTCTGGATCGCTAATTACTAAGAATGAATTCACTCGACCACTTTACTCGTGCAGCTCAGACTCGTGCACGGACACGCGATCCTGCACAACTGCAATTTCACACCGAATTAGGCACCGTAAGTGTTTTTTTTTTCGGGCCAGATATCTGTTTGTCTTCGGCTCCACTCGCAAACGAGACGCTCACTTTGTCCCCCATTAGACAGAAACACTGGATCAGAGCTAATGAGTGACGCCTCTGTGGCCTGCTGATATTTTACCTCTCGCTGCCCTCATCATTCCCCTTCCTCTCCCTCCTCTCCCTCTCTCTGTTTGTGCACCGCTGTCAAACTGAGCTCTCCTCGACACAGTGCTCTTAAAATTTTCCAACCGGCTCTCAGAAGGTCTTGCCTCTCGCTGCATGCTAATGTTCTCTGCCCTGCACTGGAGGATAAACACAAAAGCTCTGTCTGAAATCACTCCCAATTTGCTGTCTGGTGCAACAACACCGTCCTTCAAATTGTGCAAAATCACATCTTTTTTGCCGTTTTTGCTAAGAAAAACGTGCAAGATCTTAGGAGCGAAAACACTTCAATCCTGAGGCCAAAGTGATTTGAGAGATCGAGCTGGGCGACAAATCTGGAGATTCTGGGGTTTTTTGGCTCAAAGGGGAGCTAATGTGATTAATGGCTTTGCTTGAGCAGCATCAGCACTCCGTTCTGTTTTGCTCTTCACCATATGCATCCATGTTTTGTCAGCGGTTTAACTAAAACTGCACATATGGTGAGACTGTTGACTAAGCCTGCTGCTCCCAATATGTGTGAAAATGAACCTCGGTGATACGATACGACAGCGTTTTTTAAAACTCTCTAGCTATTCCGCTGAAAACTAATCTCTAAACTGCAGGCGAAACTCTGATGCGTCCGGTTTTTGTGGTTCAGTTGCCACGGTAACTTGCTCCCGCTCAGGTTTTCTAATCACAATCCGAACCCGTTTCTGGCTAACATCACTTCGGACAAACGTCTGGGGAGAATCAGGGAAACGACGGGTCAAGATGGACCGAAGAGCCGAAAATGTTTTTATTCTCTTCGTAAATGCAAGAAAGATGATTCTGATTATTTCAACTGACTTTGGTTTACTGACTTGCATGTCTGAAGTTAACTAACCAACACCTCATGTCTTTGTTTAATTAGTGCATTTATCATCTGAAGCAGGCTACAAACTGTGCGATTTGAACAATCTTATAAGGCTAGCTACGCTGTCCGACATGAATCTAATAAACTTTGGGCACGACATGAAGCTTGCTGTGTGCAGATTGCACGATGAAAACGTAAGCTGAATCGATGTACATGAACGCGCAAGAATAAAACGTCATAAGCGTGCGCCATCCATCCACGAAAAAGAAACTGGCGAAGCATGAAGGGAGCCCTTGCCCTCGTGATATTTATGTGTTTGGAGAGAAATCCCAATAAAAGGAGAAGGAGGAGTATATGGGTGCGGTCGTGGCTCGGAAAGAAAGCTTAATTTGGGATGCCAATTTTGCAGCTAGTGTTGCATTGATCGTCACTTCATACTGCAGTTCTATTGGTCAGTTAGTTGATGTAGGTCAGAGCAGCAGTCACACTGTGAGACTTTATCGCAAGTTGTCTTTAGTCGCTCGAACCTGTCTCACAGAGCGACGTAGGACCACCAATTTAGAGCCAAGACCAAAGATATCGCCACGATTCTCTCATGATCGTTATCTTTCGTCTGGGACGTCCAAAAATCGCACAGTGTGTAGCAGGTTTTACAGGACATTCGGTGTCTGACTTTTCAACAAATATTATTTGTTATTTAACAAAAACAGGGATCTGTTAAATAGCTGGGAAATTATTCAGTATTTTTCACTCCCTACTCACAATAATAGCAAATTTTTTTTATGATTTAAATATTGTAAAAAAAAAAAAAAAATTTTTGATTAAAAAAAAGTGTAATTTCATGGTCAGACATTTGTCTGAAAAATCCCTCTCTAGAATTTATTTATTTATTTATTTTTTTTTTTACAAATCTTATAATATGGACATTATTTGTGGTTGTTGTTACAGTTAACATGTAAACCAATATTTTTTTCTGTGATTTCGCGGTAAATTATTTGTAATTTAACAAAAAGAGAACCGCCAACCTATAAAATAACAGTTAAAAATGATGATTCACTATCTTTGTTTAAATCCTTGATATACACGTTTGTTTGTTTTTTCAAATATTGCCGTCTATCTGTCAAATAACATGTTTTATTTTTATTTTAAATACAGAAAGTTGTACAGTTTTATGGTCAAGCACTGAACAAATTACCATTTGAAGAGTTCATTTGCAAAAAACAGATAACTCCATTTTTGTAGATTTTCAGAAAATGTAGTTTTTTGTTGTTTGCTTGAGATGATGTCAATCAAACTGAAGCTGAGTGGATTTGACTCAGTAATGACAAAAACAGCGATACCTTAAGTTTGATTGATATTGTCTCAGGTAGACGATGGAAAAGTGGGTTTTCTGAAGGTTTGTGACGATGGAGTTATCTGTTTTTACAAATGAACTTACCAGACTGCTGCCTATACTAATGTCAAATTATAGATTTCAGTCTCAGTTCTCAGTCTGAAGAAGCTTCTTGATCAACTTTTGAAATGTAACTGAGGCCACATTTCCTTCTAGATGACTTAGTTTCATCTCTAGGATGCTGGTCTGTCTAAGAAATAAGGTTTAAACGTAGAACCCATCAGCCTGGTGTAATATTTCCACGAAAAACATTAAAACAGCTTGTCTCAGTGCAAAAACACCACAGCTGCTTCGAGACGTTGCCAAATTACAGATTGCACATAAAAAAATGGAGTAAACCAAGACATTCATTCGGTGCTGTGAATGAGGCCGACGTGGTTTTCTTCTCACCTTCCCGTGACACAGCTGCTGCGACAGCTCCGAGGTGCACCACAGGTGAGCCGCCATCTTGCAGGTTTTACACCGCAGAGCTTGTTTGGAGTTTCCTGCAGAGAAGGACCGAGACCAGAGAATGAGAAGAGACGGGGAGGCAGGCGAAGAAAGAAAAAGGGAACGCAGCGGGACGGCGGCAACAGGCAGAAAGCGAGCCAACCTCAGGCCACGCAGGTAGAGCTCCACGGCCAACGGCTCCTCTGAAACATCACCTGCAGATCAGGGAGCAGCTGGAGACGTCTCAATCGTAATCAGTTTGGCAATGAGTCATCTCGCTTTTTCATGTCTGCGCCGAGAAGTGTGCCTCTTGAGCATCTCCTTATTTGTTATGTAATGAGAAATCCGCTGTTCATTATGTTTTTAACGATTGAAGGGTTGAGCCTTTTTTTTTTCATCTTGGAGATGCGGATTAGAAGCAGCAATCAGACAGATTGGATGGCTTTAATGAAAACACTGTTTTTACTTTGAGGATTTAAATAACAACAAAAAAAAGGATTCCACTTCATCAGAGGTTGTTTTGGGGCTGAAGAGGAGGCTACACAAATAAACCCACAATGCATGCAAAAAAAACCCCAAGCGGAGCAGGTCGGAGTCTGTAATCAATCACAATGACGGCGAGTAGATTTAGCAGAAACACGAGCAGCTAGCGGCTCAAAGAGGCGGCAAATTAAAGATAACAGAAGTCACACATCTGCACCGGAGCTGCTCCGAGGACATGCAGCTCGGTTTTAATCTCAAACACAAGGAGAGAAAATAAATCAGGCAGTGAGGTGGGTTCATTTAAAAAGTTTAAAGAATCTTCTCAGGACTCTATTATGTTCACACTAGTTTAGATTTAAGACTTTGGGAAACGTGAGATCATCGACTGTCAGTGAAATTCAGTCACATGAAGCAACGACGAGCGAAGTAACTGCTAGTGCTGCAAAGTGGAAAACTGAAACCCAGCAGCTGGATTTAAAGGTGTGTTGTCGTCTTAAAGGTGTTAATTTTACAGCATTTATCAGAACCAGAAAAAGAGATTCTCAACTTTCTGATGGTCCTTGAACTACTCTTGATTATATTTCTGATATAAACATTTAATCAAAGTAACTTTACTTTATGTCTCATGAAGAAAAAAACTAATGTAAAATGTTATACTGGATCCCTGTAAACCCAGTTCAAGCTTTTTCTTGTTCCAGAAACGTTCTACAAGTTTTCTTTGAGCTACCAGAATGTTCTTTTTAAAGGTCGGAGAACCAAAGACATTCTAAAAATGTTTAGCGATAACGTTGTTGGACCTTTAGGTGCTAACGTTCTCAAAACTGAATGTCACACTGACAACGTTCCTCCTTTATCAAATAGCACCGTGGAACATTATGGGAACGTTTAGCAGATTTTATAACGTCTTCCCTCGTGACGTCTCCAAACGTCCTGCAGCCAGAATGTTCCACTTTTATCAATACATAACATTACAGGAACATCTTAGAACGTTTGCTAGTGTGTTCCCTCAACAATATGGCTACATGTTCTTCCTTTAACATATTACATTACAGGAACATCTTTCAAAGAATGTTCTGTAATCTGAGGTCTTGATAACATCTCGAAAATGTTTTCTGAATGTTGCATTGAGAACAGAATTTCTTTATGAGAACCTTCTATAATGTGTTCCCTCAACAACAAGGCGAAAGGTTCTACCTCTAATTAGTACCAACTATTACGGGAACATTTCACAGAGAACGTTCTATCATCTGAGGTCTTGATAACGTCATAAATGCTGCATCGATAACATCCTTCCTTTGTTTTCTTCGGTGAAATATTTGACCGAAGAACAATCCACAACGTTCTCCTTAACAACAAGGCTAAATGTTCTACCTTTAACAGCGTTTAACATAACTAACATTCCATCATCTGAGGCCTCGATGACATCTGGAAAACAATGATGTTGCTTCTGGAACGTTTTTCCTTCGTTATCATCATTTTATAAAAGAACGTTCTGTTATGTGTCCCCCCAAACGTAAGAGCAAATGCTCTACCTTTAAATTTTCACATGACAGGAACATCTTAAAGAGAACTTTTTGTCATCCGAGGCCTTGATAACATCTAAAAAACATCTTGTGGATGTTTCTTTGAGATGGATTTTCTTTTGCTATCGTGGAACATTTGGAGAATGTTTTGTTCCATCCACAACAAGGCTGAATGTTCTACCTTTAACTTGTCACATTACAGGAACATCGTACAGAGAACCTTTCATCATCTGAGGCCTCGCTAACATCTGGAAAACACTTTGTGGATGTTGCCTTGAGAACATTTTTCTATTCCAGGATTTCCCCTTGAGGATCAACAAACTATTCTATTCTGTTCTACTCTATTTTTTGTCATCATAGAACACAACCTGTGTTCTTCACCATGTCCTCCAACGAGCCTCTGAATGTTGCACCTGAAGTCTCATAAAAATGTTCTTTAAGCGTTACATTAAAACTTACTATGTGACTGTATTGATATTAGGTAGTGTTGGCGAGTGTTTTGGGAACGTTCCCTGCCAGCTGGGACGCTTGAATCCAGGGAGAACCTCGAGAACCTTACCCACTATCATGTGCTTGCAGTGCTGGCAGTTGGTGGGCTTCCTGAACACGTGGTCCTGGAAGCAGTGGTTGACCTGAGGCCGGGGAGGCTTGGCGGGCAGCGACGGCGAGAGGCTGAGGGACGGCGAGTGGGAGGCAATAGAGGGGTTGGGGCTGAGGGACGGCGAGATGGACGGAGAACGTTCCCCGACCACGGGGGAAGGGGGCAGCAGAGGGGGAGACGGGGGCGGCGGGTCGGTGATGAAGTCCGGGGGCAGCCGGGCGTCGCTGTAGGACCTCTGGAAGAAGTTCTCCACGCTCTTACTGCGCATCATGGTCTTAAAGGACAGCGAGCGCTTCAGCCTCTGCAGCTGGTAGAAAGAAAGCAAGAATAAACACTAGATAAGCAAGAAGCAATAACAGAACGTCCAGCACACCCTGAGGACAGCTCAGGCAATATCCAGAAACACCACCTCAGAGGGTGAGTCATGAAATACAATATCACCTCATAAGGAAACAACACATTAACAGCAGAGCAAACCCGCATGTTTTCTATTTAACATGGCTGCCTGTGCATTTGGCCCGCGGTTAAATAAGATAAGCTTTTCTCTTTGAGGACGCCCACCGACACACGCCGAGAGTAAACGCCGCTTTCCTGACAGGGGAGCTACTGTGATCAAACAGGAGTTTACACAGTCTTATCGTGCATCAGCAGCCGCTCCTCCAGGCTCTTATTGTGAAGGGCCGATTGATCGAGCCACAGGTCTGCACTGAGCGCCACGCGTCTACACTGTAAAAACTACACCGGCAAAAAAACAAAACAAAAATAAAGCAAGTGTGTAACATGTCAGAAAACAATAGAATATTGTAGCATTCAAAAACGGTGAAATGAGTGGCAAATATCTGTAACACAATAATTTTTTCTTCTTTTTGCTGATTTAAATACAGTAAAAAAAAAAATTAAAAGGAGTAATTTTGCATTTAAACAATGTGATAAAACAAATTACGATTTATAAAAACACTAATTTTTGATGTAGACATTATTCATAGTTTTGGCCAGGAGAGTTTGTATTTGTAACTTAATAAAACAGGGAAAACCTGTTAAATAACAGCAAAAAAATACATTTACAATGTTTCCATTCCTTAATATACAAAATTATTCCTTTAAATAACAGCAAGTATCCATTTTTTTCTTGCTGATTTGAACATATAAACTGTTAAAAGAGAAAAAAAAAGAAAAGAAAAACTAGTGTAAGTTTACAATCAAACACTGTAAAAACTGTAAAAAAAATAAATAAATAAATTAAAAATTACCATTTGTACAATGATGATTGATGTGGACATTATTTACAGTCTTGCTTTGTTTTTTTTTTATTGTTTACCTGTAAATTAATACTTTTCCCCCCACGTGTTTGTACAAGATATCATCTCCAATTTAACAAAACACAGAAAAATCCGTAAAACTGAAAAAAAATTATTGTTAAAAAAAAAAATATCTGTAAATCACGATATCGTTGCCTCGCAGCTAGAAGGTCGCCAGTTCACATCCCGGTGAGGACAATAGAAATCATCTTTTTGTTTGGTTCTGTTGGAGGGTTTTGTTTGTTTGTTTCTTCCTGCTGTCGCCAAGTGCCTTCAAAAGGGTGGAAGGTAGATTTATGGTATTTGGCGCAGATAAGGCGGCTAGCATCGTTGCCTCGCAGACAGAAGGTCACTGGTTTGCATCCCTGTGAGGACACCCGGGATCTTTCTGTGTGGAGTTTGCATGTTCTCCCCGTGCAGCGTGGGTTCTCTCCGGGTTCTCCAGCTTCCTCCCACACAGTCCAAAAACATGTTGAGGTTAATTGGTGATTCTAAATTGTCTGTAGGTGTGAATGTGAGTGTGCTTGGTTGTCTGTCTCTAAGTGTAGCCCTGTGATAGACTGGTGATCTGTCCAGGGTGTTCCCTGCCTTCACCCTGAGTCAGCTGGGATAGACTCCAGCCCCCCACGACCCTAGTGAGGGGTAAACAGTGTATAGATATGGATGGATTCAAAAACAGGAGGTTTATTTCTTACAGTGTACATCATGCAGCAGTCTTGAATTGACACCAGTAGCTGCTGTGTCGACTAAACAGCTCGAATGACTGACGGCGTTTCAAACACGTCACGTCGGCATCGACAGCATTGATTCGCCAGATAAAGGCCCGTTTCCTGACATTCTGCCTCCGGCTGTGAGCTCAGACGACGGCTTCCCGGAGGACTCGGTTCGTCGGGTGAAGCGGTCGGCCGGCGTGAGGGCGTGGTCCTGATGCAGTAGATCATCACAGACAGATAATCAGTACAGACAGTGAAGTGCACCCTCCGCGTCTGTCTGCACTCATTCTGCAAACATAATCACTTTACAGAGACACGCTGTTTACAGCTCAGCGCGGACGCCAATAACACACGAAGACACTTTGTCTATTTGAGTGCATGTCAGGCGCACATGGAGGTAGAGAGGCAGAGAACGGCTGTAAATCTAGATTTGTGAAATGTCCCTTCATCAGATTACACACATGAAGATGCTGCACACTGAACCAGGTCCTAATAAAAAGCCCACTGCTGTGACCGCTCCTCTCCATTAGATACACAGTCTGGGCAGGAGAACACTGAGATGTGACTCCGTGTTTTTTCTTTTTTTTGCTGGAACGTTCTGGTTGACTGCGAGCGATGGCAGCTGAGCGACTTCAGAGTGTGGTAGCTGCAGGGCCTGTTCAGCTCGTCGTCTGCTGCTGAATGTTGAACAGATAAGTGGAGTGGATGTGACTGTTCAGTGTGTGCCGGCGATTAGTGCATGTGTGAGGTGTGTGTTGTTGTTGTTGTTGTTCGCTCATCCAGTGTGCAAACGACACCACGCACTGTTAAAAAAAATATAAATTATATGGTTATTTAACAGCTTTTAACACTCATATGTTGGAAAATTTGCAGTTATTTTACAGATTCTTTTTTTAAATGTAAAAACTACAGACATAAAAAAAGCATTAGATAAAGTCAGTATTTTTACAATATATAAATATAGCAAAAAATATTGTTACTTTAACGATATGCGTTGTTTTTTAAAAGAAATATTTGAAATTAAAGATGAAAAAAATACACATATTTACAGATTTCCCCTGTCTTAGTAAATTACAGACAATCCATCCATTATCTATACACCGCTTAATCCTACGGACAATTTAGAATCATCAATTAACCTCAACATGTTTTGGTGGGAGGAAGCCGGAGAACCCGGAGAGAACCCACGCTGCACGGGGAGAACATGCAAACTCCACGCAGAAAGATCGCAGATGTCCTAACTGGGACGCGAACCGGCGACCTTCTTGCTGCGAGGCAACAGTGCTAACCACTGATCCACCTTGCAGCCCCATTACAGATAATATCTTTAAAAAATAAAATAAAATAATATGTAAAATATAGAAAAAAATGGCCCAAAACATCCACATGATGTTTACAGTGTTTAAGTACACATATAAGATTTGCTAAATCCACAGGAAAGAAGTATTAATTAATTATTGATTATTAATTTACATGATAAGTGCAAAGAAAAAATGGTCAAAACTGTATTATAACAACTATTTGTTCTTTTAATATATGTGGCCATGAAATTACAGTTTTACTTTATAGAATTTAGCTAAAAACTTATTACAGATATTTGCTGCTATTTCTGTGTTTTTTACAGTGCGTTGAANCAGCCGCTCCTCCAGGCTCTTATTGTGAAGGGCCGATTGATCGAGCCACAGGTCTGCACTGAGCGCCACGCGTCTACACTGTAAAAACTACACTGGCAAAAAAACTAAAATAGAGCAAGTGTGTCGGAAAAAAACATGTCAGAGAATAGTAGAATATTGTAGCTTTCAAAAACGGTGAAATGAGTGGTAAATATCTGTAACACAATAATTTTTTCTTCTTTTTGCTGATTTAAATACAGTAAAAAAAAAAATTAAAAGGAGTAATTTTGCATTTAAACAATGTGATAAAACAAATTACGATTTATAAAAACACTAATTTTTGATGTAGACATTATTCATAGTTTTGGCCAGGAGAGTTTGTATTTGTAACTTAATAAAACAGGGAAAACCTGTTAAATAACAGCAAAAAAATACATTTACAATGTTTCCATTCCTTAATATACAAAATTATTCCTTTAAATAACAGCAAGTATCCATTTTTTTCTTGCTGATTTGAACATATAAACTGTTAAAAGAGAAAAAAAAAGAAAAGAAAAACTAGTGTAAGTTTACAATCAAACACTGTAAAAACTGTAAAAAAAATAAATAAATAAATTAAAAATTACCATTTGTACAATGATGATTGATGTGGACATTATTTACAGTCTTGCTTTGTTTTTTTTTGTTTACCTGTAAATTAATACTTTTCCCCCCACGTGTTTGTACAAGATATCATCTCCAATTTAACAAAACACAGAAAAATCCGTAAAACTGAAAAAAAATTATTGTTAAAAAAAAAAATATCTGTAAATCACGATATCGTTGCCTCGCAGCTAGAAGGTCGCCAGTTCACATCCCGGTGAGGACAATAGAAATCATCTTTTTGTTTGGTTCTGTTGGAGGGTTTTGTTTGTTTGTTTCTTCCTGCTGTCGCCAAGTGCCTTCAAAAGGGTGGAAGGTAGATTTATGGTATTTGGCGCAGATAAGGCGGCTAGCATCGTTGCCTCGCAGACAGAAGGTCACTGGTTTGCATCCCT